CTATTCTATTCTATCCTCTTCTATCCTGGTTTCTATTCTGTTCTATTTTATTTTATTTTATTCTATTCTGTTCTGTTCATTCTATTCTGTTCTGTTCTGTTTGTTCCATTCTATTCTATTCTATTCTATTTTATTCTATTCTATCCTATTCTATCCTAGTTTCTATTCTGTTCTGTTCTGTTCTGTTCCGTTCTATTCTATTCCATTCCATTCTATCCTATTCCTCGTCTTCCACCAGGGGGAGCCGAAGAGAAGAAGAGCAACTAAGAGGATTAGGGAGCTGAAGGCTAAAACATATGAAGGACGGTTGCTGGAATTGGGTAGGTCTCGTTTAATGAAAAGAAGGACTAGGGGTGACATGATAGCAAACTTTCCAATATTTGAGGGGCTGCCCCGAAGAAGAAGAGGAAGTCAAGCTATCCTCCAAAGCCCCTGAATGAAGGACAAGAAGCAACGGATGGAAACCAACCAAGGAGAGAAGCAACCTGGAACTAAGGAGAAACGTCCTTATAGTACGAACCACGGCTTGCCCCCAGAGGTTATGGCTGCTCCATCCCTGGAGGTTTTAAACAAGAGACTGGACAGCCACTTGCCTGAAATTGTATAGGGTCTCCTGCTTGTGCAGGGGGCTGGACTAGAAGACCTCCAAGGTCCCTTCCAGCTCTATTCCGATTATGTTATATTCCGATTATGGCCTAGGGCCTCCTGCCTGAGCGGGGACATTATGACCTTTGTATTTCTTTGGCCACTGAAATACTTCAACAAAACTTTCTTGAACTGCTTCTTGTGTCCGGCTCTGGTTGGCACCTGCACCAGGCGAAACCCGCTTGGATGCCTGTCCGTGGCACGAGCAGCTCGGACCGTGCTGAGCTGGACTTCGCGAAGAGGCCCGTACCTTGTCCTCCCGGCTCTGCCCAGCCACCCCGGTTGGGGTGGTTTGGGGCTGGAGGGACAGCAGAGTTTCGAAGAGCGTCCGGGCCTCGGTGATCTGCGAGGCCACGTCAGCATTGGGGTGCTGGCCAAAGGCCTCTGGGGGGTCCATGCCTGGCAGAAGGCTGATGTACTCCTTGTAGGAAGACAGGTTGCCATCCTTGGGGATGTAGTAAGTGTCCAACACCGTTAGCCTGCAGAGAGAACCGAGAGGGCTTAGGAGAAGCGTGAGATACTCCGATCCCATGCAGGAACAGCTTGCTACTCATTGGTCTGCTCAAGCCTTTATTGGAAATAATACTAACAATAATCCGGCTTGTATTGGTCTGCTCAAGCTTTTATTGCAAAATAATAATAATAATAATAATAATAATAATAATAATAATAATAATAAGGCGGCTTGCTACTCATTGGTCTGCACAAATCTTTTATAGCAATTTTTTTTTAATAATAATACTTTATTATCGAAATAAGAATAGAATAGAATTTAGAATTAGAATAGAACAGAACAGAACAGAATGTAATACAATACAATACAATTTAGAATTGAATGGAATGGAATAGAATAATGAATAGAATAAAATAGGAATAGAATGGAAATAGGAACAGAATAGAAATATAGAACAGAATAGAATTTAGAATTAGAATAGAATACAATTCAATACAAGTTAGAATAGAATAGAATATAGAATAGAATAGAATAGAATAGAATACAGAATAGAATAGAATATAGAATAGAGTAGAATAGAATAGAATATAGAATAGAATAGAATAGAATAGAATAGAATAGAACAGAATAACGGAGTTGGAAGGGACCTTGGAGGTCTTCTAGTCCAACCCCCCGTTCTGGCAGGAAACCCCATAAAAAGGTAGCTTGTAAGGGTCCTTTAGATCAACCTTAGACAGCCCCCCCCCCCCGGCCCCCAGGTGTTCCATTAGCACCAACAACAGGTCCAGGTCGAACTTCTCTTCCAGGTAAACGTCCTTCCTGCTTTCCTCCCTTCCCCAACCCTGCCAGCTCTTGCCACCTTTCGGCTCCCCTCCCCTTCTCCCCCCCCCCCCCCAATACTGACTTGTAGAAGGGGGCGGCCACTGTTTGATCGCAGAAGTAGTCGTTGATGTAGGTGGTGAGGAGACGCCGGTCCCAGTCGTCCGTCACGTGGCCCCCATAGTTGACCCCCGCGATCAGGTACTTCAGAGCGTCCCAGGGGGTGTCTTCGTACTCGTCCAGGTAGAGGCTCAGGAGATTCTCGGACACCTGGAGGGACAGGTGAGTGTGGGTGGGGAGGGGAGCCCCGGTGTGATCTCAGATCCAACCACACAACGACACCCGAATGGTGTTTTTCAGTCGTGGCCCCTTGAAGAAATGTGGACTTCAACTCCCAGAATTCCCCAGCCAGCAAAGATTTGCCAAGAATTCAGCATGGATAGAGCAGGAACAAATATGGCTGGACTAATTTATCAAAAGACGAGCTCATCAAAAGCTGGGAAGGTGGGCTCTCCACTCGGGCTTAGGTCGGATGGCCTGATCTTAATCCTAATCCTAACTTGACCTGGCTTGGCGGCTTGATAGTCTGACCCTAACCCTAATGCTAATCCTAATCCTAACCTGGTCTGGTTTAGTGGCCTGATGGCCTGACTCTGACCCTAACCTTAAATCTAATCCTAACCTGGTCTGGTTTGGTGACTTGATAGTCCGATCCTAACGCCAATCCTAATCCTTACTCCTAATCTGTTCTGGTTTGGTCGGCCTAATCCTAATCCTAAACTTTTTGTAGCCTGATGCCCTAACTCTAACCACAGCTCTGCTCTCTTTGCATGGCCTGATGACCTGACCTTAATCCTAACCCTAACCGGGCTCCATCTTGGTGGCCAGATAGCCTGCCCCCAACCCTAATTTTGCGATCCATTGCTGGATCATCTAGGCGTGTATGCCGAATGATCAAGAGGGGATGTGGCTGGCAGCAGAGAGATGGATTCTGGGTGGGGGGTTTCCATGGCAGTCAGCTTCTAAGCCGCACGTGGAGGGTAAAAGAGACAAGTTGTTGACACAACTTTGGCTCCTCTGACAACCTCCCTGCCCAGCCACATATAGTTCTGCAGACATGAGGGTCCAGTTGGTAGAGTGAAGTAGAAGTTCCCCAGGAAGGAGGGGGCACAGGATGAGAAAAGTGTCTCAAAGCCCAGAGATGAAGAAGAAGCGACTAAGGATAGCTATTACCTAGAATCTCCCAGGCTACATAGCCGTGGTGGCGAACCTATGGCACGCATGCCGTAAGTGGCACGCAGAAACCATTTCTGCCGGCATGCAAGAGGTTGCCCAGAAGAGCCCCACTGCACATACGCGCCCCGCCCCGGCCAGCCAGCCGATTGTTGGGTATCCGTCACACATGCGCGGGGGGGAGACAGGCATGTGGGAGATGCGCGTGCAAGCGCAAGGGGTGGGGCGTGTGTGTGTGGGGGTCACGGGCGCATACGCAGAAATGCGTGGTGCATGCGCACGGGGGACACCTGTGCGTGCACAGGGGCAAGTGGGGGGTGCGCGTGCATTGCATCACCCCTCCCTTTAAGGCGACCCCCCACCTCGAAATCGGAGTCGTTGAAGCCGTAGATGATGTTCCAGCCCAGCTGCAGAAACTTCTTGCGTTCCAGCAGGACGCTGTGGAAGAAGCAGAGGGCGAAGAGCAGCTTCTTGTACTTGTTGGGCTTCGTGCAACGGTTGAACTGGGGGTCCGTGATCAGCTGGTACAGCCGCTTCATGTTTGCCTTCAAGCCCTGCAGGGAACAAGCCAGGAAAGGCGGTTAAGGTCCAAAAGCCCGACGTTCTAGATTCTTCAAGGACCAAGGGTTTGGATGGACCAAGAGCCGGTTGGCAGGGGTGGCATGCTGCCGGTTCGCAGCGGTTTGAGCGATCCGGTAGCGCCGGTCACCAGTTGGCCCTTCACTGTCCTATATTTCCTTGGTTTGCAGCTCAGCTGATAGGCGCGGCGGAGTGGATTGCCGTGCCTCGGCTGCATTTTACTCGCCGGTGCTGATGTTAAGCGTGCACCCACAGAACTGGTAGTGAAATATTTTGATTTCCGCTGCTGGCTGTTGGGCTTGGTGCCCCCAAACTTGCAGACTTCAACTAGCGGGTGGGATTCTAACCGTTCGGAACCGGTTCGATAGAGCCGGTTGTTATGATTCTACGCAGCCCGGAGAACCGGCAAATGGCGCCACTGGCTGGCCCTGCCCCTCCCCGTCCGCCCCCTCCCCTCCCCACCCAGTTAGTCCTTATCACGCATGCACGTTGCTGGCTGCGTTCTTATCTGCCCGGTCAACGAGGTATTTCTTTGTTTCTCCCTCCCTACGATCAGCTGTGCCGGGATTTTCCTCGCGGTCTTACTGCTTCGCCCAGGAAGCGGCCCTGAGGCCCAGAAGGCCCCAAAATGGAGCAGAGGGGTGCTGTGCGCTGCCCTCCCTGGGTTCCATTTTTTGCCTTCCTGGGTCCCACCCCTCCCCAAGAGGCTTCCCTTGGCCCAAGAAAAACAGGGAGGGTTTTTTTTTTTTGATGCAAACAAAGAAGCCACACCCACCCAGTCACATGACCACACCCACCAAGCCACGCCCACCGAACCGGTGATAAAACAATTTGAATCCCACCACCGCAGCAAAGATTTGCTAGAATTCACCACGGATAGGCCAAGAAACTCCTAAAATATTTTCTCTGGTCTTTTTTAGAGTTGCCAACACAAAGGTAGGGGGGATTCAGTGCGGCAGCTTGGAAATCGCAAGTGCATTCCCTAAATAGTTTTTTCAAGATAGTAACTGCCATGCAAAATTGTCACTCTTGACCCTGGTTTCCCCCCCCTCCCACCCCCTGGGTGCATCACAATTCATATCCTCCAATGGGACACATCCATAGCCCGGAGTCATCAATCACCTTCTCCAGCTAGAATTTTTCATGGCAGAAACTTCAGTCACTTAGTTACTATCTTTGAAAAGCTATGTATGGAATGCGCTTTCGGTTTCCAAGCTGCCGCACTGTTCTTTCAAACCCCTTCGCCCCCCCCTCCCTTTCTGTTGGCAACTCTAAAAAGACCATAGGAATATTTTATGAGTTGACACAAAGGTGGCTAGACTACTTCATTCCTTTTTCCTGTTTTTTTGGGGGGGCATAGGGTAACTTTCTTGATAGATGGTGGGAATGTGACATACGTAATTTATCTTGACTTCAGCAAAAAAAAAAAAGCAACGGCTGGGTGGGGAATTCTGGGAGTTGAAGTTCACACAAGCCTTAAAAGTCGCCAAGGTTAGACCCCCTTGGTCGTCTCTCTCCTCTTCTGCTCTATAGAAAACTCACCTTGTTTGACCTTTCCTACCAAGGGTTGGAAACTGACCGGTTACACTGGAGGGTGTCAGACTTAATTTCATTTGAGGGCTGCATCAGGGCTGTGTTTGACCTTGGGTGGGGGGGGGGCGGGCAAGGGCATGGCCGGTGGGGGGCTCCAGAGAATTTAACAACCGGTTCTCGGTCCAGTTGCTGGGTGGGCGTGGCCTAGTCCGCCTCCTGCATCATCCTGGGAGTGAAAATGGGCTGTGGGGGCTCCCTGGAGGCCTGTTTTCGCCCTCCACGGGCCTCTGGGAGGCCTGTCATCCACTCCCCCCCGTCCCACGTGCCCCCTGCACTTACCTGGAATCCAAAATGGGCCACGGGGAGACTTCTGGGAGGGGCAGGGAGGGGCAGGGTGAGCCGGTTGTCGGAACTACAGGTTCACTGAACCGGGCGCCAAATTAACATCCGGTTCGCCCAAACCGGTGCGAACCGGCTAAAGCCCACCCTTGGGCATGGCCGAGGCTGGCTGGGTGGGGGCGGCCAGCTCGACACCACTCCCCAAACTGCTGGCACGTTTCCCTCTTCGCATGGGGTAGACCAGGCCGAAGCCATGTGGGGCCGGCTCCTTACATTTTCCCGGATCTTGACCACATCGTGACCCCTGGCTTAAGACCGAGAGAGGATAAAACCACGGGCACATTTGAGGGCTTAGCCTGGGGGGACACTCGGCCTCTTCTCTGGGGGGGGGGGGTCCTCCGCTCTTACCGTGGGGGGCTCGGTTGTCATCTTGATGCCCGCCTGCAGGATAGAGATGGGGAATTCGGGGTGGGGGCTGGAGCTCAGCCACAGGCGGAAGGAAGGATGCGGCTCTTCAACCTGCAGCTGTTCCACCAGTTTGTCCAGCTGGGGCATCCAGGACAGAGACAGGTGGCAGTTGGCCAGGAAAACCCAGTTACCTGTGGAGGTGAAGACCCGAGGAAGACTCACCGAGGCTTCCGGATTGAGGGGGTGATTGGGACGAAGGTGCCTGTCCCAGTTAAGGGGAGTGGGAAGGGCTGGGCACTCACCCTGGTGGACCCCGTCCTTAATCATACGCGTGGCAATGGGCGCCTGGCCCTGGCCCAAGGACAGGGCGTGAAAATGCTGCGCCATGCCCGACTGCTCGGCCAGCTGAAGTAGGGAAGAGGTGGGGTCGACACCAGGAGACAGGACGAAGATCAGGGGGGTCTTTGTGGTGGAGTCGTCCACCACCTGCAAGCAGAAAGCAGGAAAGGAACAGATGAACGTAGGGCAGGGGTCTTTCAAACTTTCAAACTAAACTTTCAAACTACATGAAGGTAAATATGATAGAGTTGGAATAACAGAAACTTGGTGGGATGAAACCCATGGCTGGAACATACCGGTAGAAGGATACAAACGATTCAAAAAACAACAACAGACCCCATAAAAGAGGAGGTGGGTGTTGCACTGTATGTAAAGGACCACCATATTGCTACAGAAATGCACGAAACCAAAGATGAAAACCTCCTGGAATGCATATGGGTCAATATAAAAGAAAAAGAGGCCATAGGCGTGTATTATAGGCCACCCAATCAAGCAGAAAAAATAGATGTCCTTTTTGCCAGCCAACTAGCAAACATATGCAGGAAACACACAACAATAGTAATGGGGGACTTCAATTATCCTGATTATCAATTGGAAAACTAATTCCGCACCAAGTGAGAAATCAAATAAGTTCCTCACCAACCTAGCTGACAACTTTGTTACCCAAATGGTAGAGGGTGAAACTGGAGGGACAGCCATACTGAAGCTGCCCTCGGAAGTTGTGGGAGCTTCATCCCTGGAGGCTTTCAAGAAGAGACTGGACTGCCACCTTGTCAGAAATGGTGTAGTTCTCCCGCTTGGGTGGGGGGGTTGGACTAGATGACCTACAAGTTCCCTTCCGACTCTGATTATGTGTTATCTGTTAAACTTGGCAAGTTTAAGACTGGTGGACTTCAACTCCCAGAATACCTGAGCTAACATGACTGGAGGAGGAATTCTGGGAGTTGAAGTCCACCAGTCTTCAAGCTGTCAAGTTGGAAAGACCCCTGACGTAGATTAGTAGAGTTGGAAGGGACCTTGTAGGTCATATAGTCCAGCCCCCCTTGCCCAAGCGGGAGACCCTACACCATCTCCAACAAACGACAGTCCAATCTCCCCTTGAAAGCCTCCATTGATGAAGCTCCCACAACTTCCGAAGGCAACTTGGTGGGGGCTGCCCCAAGGAAGAGGGGGTGGTCCACCTATTGTCCAAAGCCCCATAAGGCAGGACAAGAAGCAACAGGTGGCTTAACTAACCAAGGAGAGAAGCAACCTGGAACTAAGGAGGAGTGCCCTGATACTGCGAGGACAATTAACCAGCGAAACTGCTTGCCACCAGGAGTTGTGAATGCTCCGACACCGGAGGTTTTGAAGAAGAGACTGGGCAGCCATTTTCTCTGAAATGGCATAGGGTCTCCTGCCTGGACAGGGGGTTGGACTAGAAGACCTCCAAGGCCCCTTATTCCCAACCCCACCTATTCTCCGCCTCCCATCGAGTCCCAGCTGATGGGCTGGGCCTCCTTTGGTTGCCCTGCAGAGGAGAACGGAGCCGGAAGGCAGGTTAGAGGGAGTGAGGAGGGAAGGGGTTTTTTGCAGTATATCTTTCCCCTGCCACGCCCACCGGGCCCCCTCACTCACCGACTTCATGTTCAGCACGGGGGGCTCGATAAACTGGGAGCCCAGATTGGAGACGATGAAGGCCGTGACGCAGAAGGCCACCCGGTCCGGCCGCAGAGACCGGACGACCAACATCCGTTGCATTTGGTTGCAGGAGTTCTCCCACTCGCCTGGAACACAGGTGGGGGGGGTGGGGGGGTGGGAGGAGAAGGGGCAGGAGGAGGGGCTTAGCGGGGGCTGGAAGAGAGAGAGAGAGAGAGCCAGTCCCCACCCCTCCATCCCGCCAGAGGGTCTTCAGGAGTCCATGCTCTTGTTGGTCTCCGAGCTTGATTTGTTATCTGGCGGACGTTTCATGACCCAACTAGGTAACGTCATCAGTGCTAAATGGGGAACCGGAGAGGGGAAGAATTCGGCACGGGGGCCACACCTGGCAGCATGGCCTTCTCCGGCTTGGAGCTGGTGTACCACAGGTTCCAGTCCCTGGGATACTGTTCGAAGGAGTTCATGATGCCGTGAAAATTGGTCAGTTTGTCCAGTTCCGTGACGTTGTCCCAGTAGATGTCGGAGAGCCAGCTGGTGCACGGATTGTCCATCTGCCCTTCCCGGTCCAGCACCTGCCGGAGGGACACGGGAAGGGGAGGGACACGTTTGGCGAAAGGGGGGAAGGGATTGATTTCCCGCCAGGGCACAGCCTCGGATAGTCCTGAACTCGTGACCCCCCACTGAGCATGGTTCTGTTCTTAAGCAAGACCGTTGTTAAGTGAGTCTTGCCCCCAATTCACGACCTGTTCAGTGACATGAGCCGGCTGGGTGACTTTGGGCCAAGGACCAGGAGATTGGGAGTTCTAGTCTCCCCTTAGGCATCAAAGCCGGCTGTGTTATTTTCGGCCAACCACCAGGAGACGGCGAGTTCTAGTCCCGCCTTAGGCATGA